TTTTTTTTTTTTTTGGAGAGGTAGGGGTGGAGGGTGGAGAGTAAAACCCATCGCGTCTTGCATTTTAAGGAAAACGGTATCTGTGAATGAAGCAGTGGAGAGGCTGTGAGGTGGAAAGGCTTATTTGCTCAGAGTGGAAACCTTCGCGCTGCTCTCCTCACCTGTCCTGCAGCACGGGGAAGTATTGGAGGTAGTCCTGGCCGTTGACGGTAATGTGTCCTGAGCCGCAGTCCCGCAGGATCAAAGATGAGTCTGATGTCTTCCTCCGACCTGAGAATGAAAATGAAACACAGTCTGATTTTTTACTTCAGACACGAGTGTCATGTTTGCACGTTTACTACAAAGGTTACCTTTTTTTAACCTTCCAAATCATCCCAGAAATGACTGGGAATGGAGGAAGTTGCCTGGTCTCGCATGTAGCAAGAAAACAAAACACTTTGTTTAGGCGAGGGAGGCATGAAGCATGATAATTCAGCAGAAATTACCCTCATTGATGGGCTCAATCAGACATTAGAAGGAATTGATACCCAGGAGGTGTTAGACTGATGATTATTTGATGTAGACACTTACAGTGGTCTCTCTCCTGACCTGCTCCGTACATACGGATGATGTTTTGAACCAAAAAATTCCATCAGACCCATTTTCACTGAATTTTAGTCCAATTCTTGTGTAATATGGGACGCCTCAGCCCGTTCTCCCCATTTCCCTTCCTTAAGAATGGCAGTAGATGATGAGCTGAAGGTCCAGATGCATCTCTCAAGTTCTGTGTCAGGTCTTTGCTGGATTATTTCCTGATTCTTAATACTCACCAGCTCGACATGATACATTTCATCTACTAATAGTTTTTTAGACCTGAAACGTCTTTTGTCCTCCAATTGTTCAGTTTCCTCAATTTTTTTAAGAACACCCTGCACACCATGCTGAGATATGCCAAGTTTTTAGCTAACAGCCGTTTGAGAATCACCTTTTTGGTGCAATGATACTATTTAATGTTAAACTGTGTTATCTTTGGATTTTTTCAGAGATTAAACAAAAGAAAAGGGTACAAATTGTGTGTTTTTGTGACAGGCTGCTAATAAAAAAGTGCCTAAAGATACAATTTAACAACACTGGTTCATCCCTTTAGCTAGGAGCTTTTTTTAATGTTTGAATGAGTCATAGGTAAGTGTTAAGTTGCCTAACAAAGAAAAACTTCCTCTGAAAATGGTCTGGAACAACAACTGGAATGAAAACAACTGAAAAAGGACCTGATGTCCAAAGAAGTGCTTTGATAGATCTTCAGAGAGCCTGGAGAACTAATGCTTAAGAGCACTTAAAAACACAAGTCTGGCTCTTTGGAAGCAAAATATAAAGAACTGAGGAGGGGCTCAAGACCTTTGCTTAGTTCAATAAAATCATGCTGGGGTTTTTTTGTTTTTTTTTTAATTTCCCCCAAATACTCTGAATTCCACAATAACTGTGCAATGAAATTATTTGCATTTGTTTTCCAGCCTGGCTAAATCTGCTCACACTGTCACATTATCAGAGTTTTAGCCAAGACAGAAATACCAAATACTGAATCTCCACAAACTGCCGTGTTAAAATGTCTGACATTACAGATTAACGTGTTTACATCTTACTACAAAAACAGTTTTGGTCTTGCTAATTTATCCATTTGTGATGGCTGTGCCTGGTCAACTGGCTCCACTATGACAAGAAAACAACAGGTGGTGAGGGTGGCCATTATTTCTATACAGAATATGCATGCTGACCTCTAGTACACATGTACAGATCCCAAAAAGCCACATTAAAAGGGACATACCAGGGTGAAATAAACCAAACGTGCCTTAAACTGAGAGGTTCCTTTTCTGTGTTAAACTGTTTTT